ATTACAGCAAAGAGACTCGAACATGGTTAACCAGGTTTAATCTGTAAGCCCAGGATATGATTGTGCATTCAACATTGATATTTCATTCTAATCTCATAACAGTACATATTATGTAGCCGGTACATTCTGTGGGCGTTCCAGCAAAAAGGGAGAGCTTGTGATGTGAGGCTGAGGAGACAATGAGCGAACTCCACGGTCTCTGTCGGACTTTAAATTACTATAAAGAATGTCAGACTCACCCCCACGATGTGGCCGCCCATGTCTTCCTATTGTTTAGTATTTGCTAACAGAATTCTTTCTGTTTATTATATTCAGAGAAGACTTTCACGTTCTGACAATATCAAAAACGCGCATGCTTTTTCCCTCCTCAGCTCTAACTATACGTCTACGGCCATTAATTAAGATACTTATTAATCACACAGTTAGTCACCTTCAATGATTATTATTAGACCACCGTTGTCCTTTTTATGACAGTTTTAAGAAGTCTAAGGTGTTTAAAGTCTGAAGGCCACTGGAGCATTGCATTATTTTAGTTTATCATGACCATGAACTTTGGTATCCCTCTGAGTTGTCATTTGCCTGGTATTGGGCCCACAGTGGACTCCTATGTTCAGTTACAGAGAACTGGGACCTACCCGAGCACAATGATTATGAATTAAAAAAAAAAATTATTCACAAATGAAGTCAATCCTTATGCTAACACTATTGGCAATGGGTATAAATGTGTTTCTAGTCTTTGTTGATGGCAAGCATCCTTTAACCTCTCTTGGCAGTGGTATTAGACCACAAAAGAAAAGCCATTATTTTCCTTGGGCTTCTCAGTACACTGAAAACAATGGAGCCACTTGGAGTCATCCCTGATGGGGAAATGAGTTGCTTTCGAGGAATTTTTGCCTCAGAAGAGCATGATTACTTGCCACAATTTCTTGGCCAAAGCTCACTTCTGCCCGGTGAACGTGATCGAATGCTTATCGGAATAGAATCTGCATTTCGCTCTGCTCCTGAAGCTGGGGAAAATGAGTACATTTTTAATTCTTTAGATGCTCCCAACCCAGATTTGCGGCTTATTCCTCAAGCAAGTAGTTTCAATACTAACTGTAGTGGCGATGCTTTCTTCGGTGCCAACCCGGGCCATATGAACTACTATCTCAGTGATCCTAATCAGGCACTAGCAAATGATGCCTGCATGTTCATGAATGTTTGCATGATGCATGAGAAAGACACTGGCACTTTCATCCCATCACCGGAAAATGTTTTGGTGGAAGAAACTGTTAGCTTTAATGAAGACAGAATAGGGGACAAATTGGAGAGTTCTAATCAAAGTCGAGCTGAGGTCACAGCTTTTGTTGCCGAACAGTTGCGCCTGAAAGGGAAGTTTGAAGTGCCAGAATTGGAGGCTTCAGCATCTGAGAACCAGAAGAAGAAACCTCGTTTCTCAAGAGATGTAAGTGTTTTATTTGACCCTATACATTTTTGTCAACACTCAATAGTATTAAGATTGGAAGCAGGATTAGATTTTCTCACTGTGATTTTCAAATTCAGGTTCAAAAGAGTAAGAAAAATGCACAGCTAAAGAAGAACCACAAGGTTTCAGGGAATGGCTATGGGGCAGAAGAGACTGATACAGGATTACATGGACTGAGCTGTAGTAGTTACAGCTTAGAGGACGATAATGCTTCTCAGGAAAATAGCGGAGGAGCTTCCTCAGAGTCTAAATCACTAGTGACTCAAAACACAAATGGGAAAACCAGGGCCAGTAGGGGATCAGCAACAGATCCCCAGAGCCTTTATGCCAGGGTAATTTATTTGTTTCTTTCACGTCAAAATTTAGTATTCCGTCATTTTACAAGATGGCGTGGACGTGCAGTATACTCTGTATATAATACTCATTTTCGTTATGAATCTTGCAGAAAAGAAGAGAGAGAATAAATGAACGACTGAGAATCCTACAGAATCTTGTTCCAAACGGAACAAAGGTGATGACACTTCATATTAATTTATTCTTTTTTGGGTTGTGGGGGTGGGGTTGGGGAGTAATATGCAAGACTAGGATCACTGATTTACTTTGCAAACGGTGGTTCAGGTTGATATAAGCACAATGCTTGAAGAGGCAGTCCACTACGTGAAATTTTTGCAGCTCCAAATTAAGGTAATAAGAGGCATACATCGCAGAAAAATGACAACTTTTTCGATATTTGCACAAACAAAAGTTATATATATACCATCAAACCAGTTCGCTGAGGATGATTTATTTGTGTGCAGCTTTTAAGTTCTGATGACCTGTGGATGTACGCTCCAATTGCTTATAATGGAGTTGACATTGGATTGAATCTCAGCCGCAAGGTTTCTCCACCAACATGAGGATGGAAGAAACCTGTGATCCTGAAACGTTACTTCAGTAAACAGGAAAATTAAAGATGATAATGATATTATATATATATATATGCTCTGGCTAACTTGTTATATTCTAATATAAATGCTGCTGTCCTCTTATCCATGAAGACAGTTCTCACATTTTTATGGATCAAGCATTGTGTGTTCCTTACATTTGTGACCCCATTAAATGATACGGCAACTATAGGCCCATAGCCTTGGGTTTGTTAATCTTCTGTTCAAAGAATTGTAAATTTATTTAAATTCAAAACAACATGACAATATTAAACAAATGTATTCATATTTTGCATGATGCATTTGAAACTAAATCCCGTCCAACTTCCCCACGAGAACATTCTTCTCTTGACTGGTTCAAATCCAGAACAACTCAACAAAAAGACAATGGGATTATTTAGAACAACGTTGCAAAAGTGCTTAATTACAAGCACTTTCATACAAATCGATACAAAACTCTTTTCACATATTTACCTTATATTCTATAAATTACGTTTGAAAAGTTACTTATAAGTCATTCCATATAAGTCCAATATGAGTTAAAGACGTGATCTGTGAACTTGATTAAAATCCTTGAGAGCGACGGTGATTTGCCAAGGAAGCTGCAAGTGGACAAACACATAAATGAAAACAATTCAGAGGAGTGATTTATTATATTTATCAAACCAAGATTAAAAATTTGTTAAATCGAAATAGAATCAAGGTCATTGTTTCTTGATAAAATATCACCTAAAAGGGTGAATTGGCAAAAATCATTAATTAATTAATTAAGACCCTTTACCGATCCTTAAGCACATTAAAAAAACGGTTACTTTTAGTTGATTATATGTAGCTTTTAGTTCCAACAATGTAAGCTACAAAGATGGCCTTAAATTTATTCTATGCATGAAGTGATGGCGTTGTATCTTCGTAGCGCGACTGGACAAATAAATCGCATACTCTCGTCAATACTCGTCAATTGTTTGAGGCTGTATGAGGAAGGTCTCTTAACTAGCACTAAAATTCATTCAGAAAGTCTGCAATACAAAAATATCAGGTGCTACTTCTATGATAGATATCTTAGGCTCAACAAAAAATAATGATTTGAGGATTTTTCATTGAGATATCATTTGCAAATATATTTATTGAAGCATACAATAAGGCAACGACCTCCACCCATTGCGTTTAATATTCTAACTTCTCCTTTCCAATCGCGATTCGTAGAGACAACTCTCTCTATATATATCTCTTGGCTCCTAATTAAATGTAAGGGTTAAATAACTTATTTACAAAAATTTTAAAAAATAATTAAACTAGTTATTTACAAAAATATATATAATCACTTGTATTGAAAACTATCTGCTAATAAAAATCCTTTTAATATGGGATAATTTAAAAGAAATATTATAAATTCAAAAAATAAAATTAATTAAGATTTTATATTAATAAATAAAATAAATTCCTCAAACTAGTTTCTCCATTTAGATTGGAAAGTAGTAATGTCTGTCTTGTTTTATCGGTGCGCATTCAAACTCCTCTTCTTTGAAACTGGAGTCATGTGCAGTGTAGGTGGGTAACCCAAAATGAAAAATAAAGGAAGCTAAGAATTTCTTTTTGCTTTTTGGTGACAAACTCAGTGGCCAGCATCAACTATCCCTGAGGCCCAAAAAAATCATCCATCCTTTTTGTAACTTGAGGGGAAAGTCAAAGTCAGGACTGAATAGAAGCTAAAGTATATGCAGAGGAGGTCTCCAATGACATGGCCAACTCGAGGCCCAATATAATCATAATTGGGCGTTCGTTTCATAGCCCAAAAACGACCCGGAGACTATAGTAGACCACAGATCATCTTAGAGCTTGTTTTCTTATTTTAAAATAATTTTTTTAAAAACAAAACAAAAAATAAAAAATTTTAAAATAATTATTCGAACAGTTTTTTTTTTTTTACTATTTCATTGAGTAAAGCAGCATTTAAATCTTATTTCTCACTTATCTAGTGCACCTCACACTCTAGTGATACAATTTTATCTATATTTTTTAAATTTAGTGCAATCTTATTTTTTATTTATTAAAATCATGATTTTTATTTTAATCATTTTAACAGTTAAAACTAATAATTTTAATTCCTTTTATTAATTATTGAATAATTTTATACAAAGTAACCAAATTACGATAACATAAAAAAATGAAAAATGGATGAGATTACATCAAATTTAATATATTATGAGTAAAATTATACTATTAAATTAAAATATTTTGTTTAGGGGTTCAGTGCACTCCAAAAATAAGATGTGAATCTTGTCTGTTTTTTAATTCTCAACATGTTTTGTAAAAACAATTTTATAAAATTGTTTGAGAAAAAATTGTAATGATAGCATCCATATGTGTGTGTGTGTATATCTTCACTTGGTGTTTGGTGTTATATATATATATCATTATCTCTACTATTCCACATTATTTTTATTATCTCACAATTATCTTATTATCATGGAATCTTTTAAAATTGAAGTGGCAAAATTGTCTTTATAAATAGATAGATTTCATGTATATGTGTTCTATACAAGAATAAAGAATAAGAAGAAATACTTGCTCTTCTGGACCAAAAAAAAAAAAGAACCGGGAAGAAGAAGTGCTTGCTCTAACCCACCGAGTCATCAGCATTCTTTGCTCGGGTGTGGAATTGTTGCGCTTCATTTGTCGCAGACTATCGTTGTTCGTACAATGTCGAATCGATATGGTCCGGGGAGGCAAGAGGGTAACAAGGGTTTCGTCAAAGCCCAGAAAAAATTTGTGCCCAGAAATTCGAATACAAGCCCTAGCGGGTCAAAACCAACTCTCTCAACCTCCCTCAGACAGTCAAATTCATCGAAACAATCGGATGGCCGTGTTGAGAGCAGCAGTTCCGTTTCAGCATCGATGGGCAGGGTTCAAATGGGAGACAATGGACAGTGGGTGTCAAATAGAGCCCAGGTTGGTAATTTTGTAAACTACTTGCCACAAGACGAGGCAGTGGCTGCTGGGCTTGGCGCTGAGGAAGGAGGATTGGATCCCGTGGAATCTCAGCGAGTTGTTGATCTTTTAAATAGAGAGCTGTCTCGTTTGCTTAAGTTGAAACCGAAGGAATTTTGGAAGGAAGGTACTTACCCATGATTATTGCTTTCATTGATGTATTTTGTTGATTTTGGACACGCCCAGGGTTGCCAAGCTATTCTTTACAATGACAGCATACATCATTCGAGATTTTTTAATTTTGGGCCTCGAAACAGATCGTTCGAGAAATTTAACTGCATTGAAAAGTGAATATATTGAAATTTAAACTTTTTTGGTTTGGTGGGTGAGAGAAACACATAATCCTCATTCAGCTTTGCTGCTGTGCGAGCCTGCTAGGCGTGGGCGGGAACTTCAACTTGACTACTTGTAGAATAGCTCTTATGTATGATCTTCCAAAATTGTCAATTTTGTCCACCTAAATAGGCTCAGGTTTATTGCTTGTCCTTTATAATAGGTGATGGAACTTTTATTTCGATGAAATCAACATCACTTAATGTTTGGATAATCGGCATAGTTATTTAATCGATTTGTAATTTCGTGAATAGCAAAATATCTTGGGAAACAGCAGTCCCTCATTAATGTTCCATAGTTAGAGTGCTTCTTGAGTTCATATTTTATCTTTCAATTCCTGATTCCTATGTTATTTATGTAACATTTGCAGTGGCTACTGATACCTCCTTGCATGAATTTCTGGACAGCTTTCTAAAATTTAGAAGCAGATGGTATGATTTCCCATATCGTGGGGCCAAAGGGATAGTTGCTGGGATTATTGTTGGAGAGCTTGATTTAAGCCGGCGTGTTTTTATGGTATTGTATCGCATGTAAGTTTTTCTGAAGCTTGATTGTTATTCTGGTTATCTTTTTTGGATTCTTGCCAACTGCACGTTTCGACTGCTCTTATTGTCATTTATGTATGTTTTGTAGTTCTTCTAATAAAGATCCAGGTGATCAGGTTGCTCATAGCCTCAATGTGAGAGACCATGGAGGTGAGTTGTCTCTTATCTTTTTCCCTCATTGAAAACAGGATGTGTTTTAGCAAGAAATCATGAGCCTTGATTTATTTGTTGCAACATATCTTGTTATAGCATATTTTTTAGTAACCTGGTTACAAGATCGGATTGTCTTATGGCTTCAGGTTGGTGCTCTACAAATGGTTATTTATAGGGAGTTTCTAATTTTGATATGCAGATAGAGTAGGGAACTCTTTTGCAGTTTTGGTCCTCTTGGGTTTGTCCTCTTCTTTCCTGACGTTTCTGGGATAATATTACGCCCTAGTTGAACATTGAACCCCTTCTGTTTTCTTTTAATAATTTCTTAACTTGTTCCAAAATAAATATTGCTCAATAATGCGAGCTTCTTTTTGCCGAGAATAAATTCCTATGTGGCATGGAAGATTTAATTGATATTAACTCTGCTCATACTCTATAAGTTTAATGGTTGTAACAGAAGTGACTGGCACGTGCATTGAATCAGAAATGTCAGTCACACCCACTGGTGGTAATTGATCGTCAAAATGTGCATCATTGTGTTGTTTGACTAGTAGTTAATGTAATTTTTAAAACACAATAGCCTATGTATGAAAGAATTATTTCCACAATCAGGTTACTGGTGGGCGGTAACTTAATATTTGTATGGTCTCTGATTCACTGCTGTTTACTGATTCTGCCTGCAGTTCTTTTGCAGGAGAAAAAGTTGCTTGACTTGCCAAAGCTGTTAGATATATGTGCCATTTATAGTCATGAAAATGAAGAGTTGACAAGATTGCTCGTAAGAATTTTTTAATAATAATGGTTTTATATGTATGAAGAACAACCTTGATGTGCTTTAGGTTCCATAAATTTCAATATATAACTTCAGAACTACCTCCAAGAAGTACTATATGAAGTTTTGTGTGTGTGTGTGTGTGTGTGTTTAGTGTGGTTTATGAGATAATACAAAACCTAAATAAAGAAGTGGGCAGGAGCTCAATCCTTGGGGTCCCCTGTTGTTCTTAATTAAATACAATAAAAGTTTTTATGCAGTTCATAATTTGTTTAATCATAACATCTTAAGTGCATGATTTTCGAATAATAATATGACAAGTGTATGGTTTTTTGCAAACAACTTTATGGTTTCTAATTAAATCATACACATGACACTTTATTATTGGAGAGTGATGCCCTCTTTGTTTTGAGATGAATACTTGATAATAAAGATATAAAGAGTTAATTGTATTTAAATGTAGTCTTTAAATAAAACTCAAGGCACAGCATAGGACGGTTTCTGCTTTGCTCACGTTTGATGCCTAAAAGTGTGAATTTATGTTGGAGATTATATGAAAAACTATTCATAAATCTGCTCTTAGTAATAGCTTAAGCTTTTGAATTAAAATGTTTGTTGGCAAAAGCTTCTGTGGTTACTTTCTCTCTTCACCTCTCTTATGTCATCACAACTTCCAGGTCAGAAATGCTCTGAATGCTCAACCTTGGATCTGTGATAATCTGACAGCTGTAATTACACATTTTCTTGGAATTGCGCACACGATGCATGAGAGATGCAGTTCATCATTGGAGGTACTTGTTATAAATTGACAATGCGAAAGCATGTTATGCCTATCATTTATCATTTTCTTTTCAGTATTGAGTCTTTTTCCTCTTTCTAAGCTGTCATTAGTTTGTTTACGTTAGGAGTCTTATACTGCTAGTTAATCTATAAATATAAATTAAATTATGGTGTTAAACTGCTTGGGGCAATTATCCATAAGTCCTATTCATATTATTCATAATTTCACAAGTAATGAACAATCGATTCATGAATGCACAAAACAAGTATGCTGAGTTTAATCTTGGTTTTTAGAATATGATTTGTTTAATTTTGAATTAAATAAATGATCCTTAATTGAGCTTATTTGCATATTTTATCAGTATGGCCATGCCCCCGGTGCTCTTTCTTTTCACCATCTATGAGTTTGACCTATTCAAATTACTTCAAGTGAATTCATAAGTACCCTTTTAGAAAGTTACTTACAATTGACTTAACTCACAATAGCAAGTTAATGTGAACATTAGTTACATTAATAGAAGTAATTTTTATTTTCTGGGATTATACGCAGGTCTTATTTTCTTCTGGAAAACTGGATGATCGCAGTGCTGCTCAGCTTCAAGCTGATCTGCTGGAGGTGAGATTTTATATCTTATGGAAGCTATCTTTTTGTTTCTGTGAATATTTTAAATTTAAATTGGATGTAGTGGCAATGGAGCAAACCCAAGTAAAGTAGGACTGTGGCTAGGGAATACTACACTGCACCAAACATAGATGATACAGTTTACAAGCCTTAACTATTGCCATGAATTAATGTCATAGTTCCAGAAAACTTGTATACATTGCTGCTGATGAGTAGATTGCTAGTATATTCACTATCTCTCATATATAACACAATGGCCTCCCTCTCAGATTCCTTAGAGATAATATGCAATCCTTATCCGCTATCCGTTTCCCCATTCTAACCTGAAAGAAAGTTAGAAGTGGAATTTTGCTGTGTCAACTGGCTTTTGGGAAACTTGTATAATTCCTTCTCTAGTTTCTATATTAGTGTCCAAGGAAGAGAATGTATTCAGTTTCAGATGCAAAGTACTTGTCAATCAAGTTGTTTGGCTTTCCTGAACATAAGATCAATGTAATTTGTTTTTATAGGTGGTCGACTTTATAAATGATGCGGTTGTATCAATGGATGCTTTTGTTAGTGCTTACAAGCTGGCGGCTGTATTTTTTTCATGCCCAGTTGAAATAAGGTATTTTCTATGGCTGAAATTGTTGGAATTTTACTTTAAGACTGAATGCCACAATTTTTCGTTGTAAGAATGATATTAATTACGGTGAAATTATTATCATTTGAGATTGGTGCTGGTTTGAGGGTATATTTGTTATGTAATTACGTATGCTGTTTGTGGCCATCATGTTCAAATTTTCTAAGGGATGTCTCTTTCATATATTACTTGCCCTCTATAATTGGTTTTGATAACATCAAAATTTTTATTTGTAAGTTTTGATTTCTGTTTATTTGCATTCTTATAGTTCTGGCAATGAGGAGCTGCTAAGCTTTCTTGCTAGATTGCATGATTCCTTACTTCCATCGTTGCTAAGGGGCTTCCATACTGTTATTGCTGACGAACAAGATGGAAGAATGTCAAACATTGTTTTAAGTTTGAAGATGTTACGGATGAGATTGGTGAACTTTGGTTGGCAATTATTGCGCTTTTGCTATCTTAGTGATGAGGTGTTCAGAGATAGTTGCCCTCTTCCAGCTTCTACAAAAATGTTTCCTGCCACTGTGGAGGACCCGGTTATTAGAGCAGATATTCTGGTTCAAACATTTAGAGAGATCAATGCAGTTTCACTGCAATTACAGGAAAACCAGCAGAAGGAGACATTTATTCAACATATTCAAAAGAGTTACAATATTTTGAAAATGGTTGAAAGCTTGCGGGATAATGGTAAGTGATCCTGCGTAAGCACAGGTTTTACTTGCAGAAGATTTTAGTATGGCTTTACTTTCATGAGTTTGTGTTGGGCATAGAATGGTTTTTGGTCGGAGCTTTTTGCTGAAAAGTCTTCAAGTGGCTTAAAACTTCTCTGCCCACGTATTTATGGGATGGAATTTGATCACTTTGATCTTTCAATGAAGTTTATCTCATTAGCAATTATTAGCTTGATTTTGTAACAGTCATAGTTGATGGCATCCCTGCACATATTGTTTTCTAATTGAGTTGCTTTTATTCAGGTTGGATATTTGTTGATGATGAACAGTTTCAGTATATATCTGGGATTATGAATTCAAAAGAGATTTATAAGGATCCACAGTCTGCAAGAGGCCCTGTGGAGAGCAAACCATTACAGGCTGATGAAGATGCTGCTATAATTGAGTCCAAAATCAGTCAAATAAGGGACCTATTTCCTGATTATGGTAAAGGGTTTTTAGGCGCATGTCTTGAAGTCTATGATCGTAATCCGGAAGAGGTCATTCAGAGGATTTTGGAGGGAACCCTTCATGAAGATCTGCAATGCTTGGACAGATCGCTTGATGTGGTACAACCAGCTCAGACTGCTACTGTGAACAGAAATGACAAAGGAAAAGGTAAACTAATAGACTCTATGTCAATGCCCTCCAATACTGCAGCAGCTTTTTGTGGGAAGCAAGAGACAGACGGACCATTGTTTTCATCCTCCGAATCACTTGGAAAATATGTGAAGAAATCCGAAGATGACTTGTCCGATGCCAACATTCTGGATACTAGCGATGAAAAACACAAATTAAGAACCGCTGCCCTGGTCTCACAATATGAATATGAAGACGAATATGATGACTCTTTTGATGATTTGGGTTTTAGTGTAGCAGACACTAGCGTAGAAGAAAATGAGGTATTGGAAAACACTGCAAAATCAGGGAAATCTTGGCCAACTGAAACTGGAGAGGCTGCACAAAATGCCCCTAGTTCAAAATGGGGCTCCAGGAAAAAGCCCCAATACTATGTCAAAGATGGCAAGAATTACAGCTACAAAGTGGCAGGTGCTATAGCAGTCGCAAATTCACATGAGGCTTCACTAGTTAATCAATCTCAAGAAGAATTAATATATGGTCTTGGACGCGGTGGCAACCATCCTCTTGGTGCCGTAAAGAAGCTGACAGATTTCTACAACAATGGCAACGACCAGTCCCCAGGTCCTGAAACCGAAGAGAGAGAGAATTTGGGCAATTCTGGTGGTAGGGGAAGGAAGGAAGGGGGCAGGTCAAGGGCTTCACATGTGCAGCAGGACAAACAATCTGATGCCTCGGAGAGTGAAGGAAAAGGTGATATCTCGAATCACAGAGGCAGAGGAAGGAGGGGGGGAGGAGGAGGAGGAGGAAGGAACAACAATTACAGAAAGGACCGAGCCATGAAGAAGCACTTCTCTGGGTTGCGTGGTTACTAGAAGCATATGCGACTCTCGTATACCCCTCTTCCACTCCAAATGTTCTATGCCCAATTCTGCCTGGGGGACTGTTCAACTCGTTTACTGGCATTTCCTCCCCAAATGGATAGATAAGGTGCGTAACACATCAGCGAGAGTCAACCCTTCGCCTGCGGTTAAAAGTCGTGGCTTTTCTGGTATTTGCGTACTCTGCTCTTTTAGTTGCTGCTCAAAAGGGGGAAATTTTAAGTCAAAGGATAAGAGCGATCCCGCGTAATATTGTGAAGCGTCACAATATAATGCACGTTAAATGAGCAATCAACAAAGCTAGGGATACTAAATTTCTTTGTTAGGTAAGATAAATAATATCGAGTGTTTTCTTTTTCCTTCTTTTTTGGATAGCATCAATTTGTATGATGCAAAAAATTTTACAGTGTATAGTTGACGTTTTAAATGGGTTTTTGTTTTATAGTTATTTTTGTTACCGTCACAATTACCACCCCCCCCCCTTTTTGCATGCACGTAACATCTTTAATCTCCTCATTGACTGTCTCAATTTTAATTTCAATTAGAAAGTGGTCCTTACTGCAGGAAAATTGGATGCACGTAACTAAAGCTACCATGATATGTACAAATAGATATTGTGTGCATCTTAATTAAAACTTCAAGAAGCATCGTAATGCGTACAAATAAAGTTATTTTGATAATTTAACTATATACTTAATGATTTTTTAATGCGTAAACAAAGCAATAAAATCCTTGTAATGAGGGGAGGCAATAGGGCAAAGGAGATAACTTAGGTATCAAATTTTATATATAATCAAGTTAAAATCAATAAATCTTAAATGTAAAAATAAGTTAAGTGGTAATAATTAGTAGCAGCCTAGCCCTAGCAGGTGATAAAAAAAATCACTTTTTCAGTGGAAAAAATACTTTGTTCAATGCTGCAGATCCTGTCGGAGTATCAATGACAATTGCAAACTTCCGATTTTCGAAATCTCGTAGAAGGACGAAGATCCTGGGCTACAATTAATAATGACGTTACTGAACTAAAATGCCCTTCTGATTAAATTTTAAAATAAAAATGAGAGCATAAATACAAGATCTTGATCCATTTATTTCCCCTTATTTAATATTTTTTTTCTTATATTATCCTTGGCAATTTTTCTCACGCTGTCTTCTACATTTAATATCCCTATTTAAATGAGTATTTTATTAAAATGGACACAATTTTTATATCATGATAATAAATAATTAAATTAAGTTTTAAAATATGTATAAATTAGTTAATAGTTAATTAAGCCTTATATTTATATTTATGTATCCTCGTACATGAGACGAAAGTGAAATTTTTGCCAAATAACAATAAAAAATGAAAGACGGGAAAAGTAAGACAAGCATGAAAGGGAGTTTCTAGCTAACCCTGAAAGTCAATGGTTACTTGTTTTTCTTTAATAGGTTGCGTCCTGCGGCCTCAAGCAGCAATCCATTGTCTATGCTGTATTTTAGTATCTACCCACGGCCGCAGGCAGCTCGCAGGCTCGCTGTCAAATTTCGCAACCTGCTTATTTGCTTTCCCGGCACAACCATCAACACAAGCCCATTTTCTGATTTCCGATGAAGAACTCCGGCAACCACACCGTCGTCGCCGTCTCCAGGTCCCCTGCCATGTCTTCTTCAATGGATCAGAAAATCTGGAGCAGGTTGCCGCCCGAACTCCTCGAGCACATCCTCTCTTTCCTCCCACTCAAAACCTTCTTGAATCTGAGATCCACTTGCAAGGCCTTCAGGTCTCTCATTTATTCTCCCTCCTTCATCACCAAGCACTCTTCATCTTCTTCTCTCAACCTTTCTCGTCGTTTTTCTTGTTGTCTCATCCCCAATTCCACTGTCAATTCCCTCTCTACGACTCTGTGCTTGGCTCCTGGCGCGACGTCTCTCTCTCTCTTTCTCCGATTTATTTCACATCTCTGCTCACTCTGTTCTGGTCTCTTCCTCCGGTGGCCTCTTTTGTTTGTCCGACTTCAATTCATCTTCCTTGCTTGTTTGCAACCTCTTGGCCAAATCCTCCAGAAAGATCGATCTCCCAACCTACTCTTATCGTTTGGAGCATCTTACTCTCGTCTCTACTCCGATCGGGTACAAGATATTCGTGCTCTCTTCTGAGTCAGCCTCAAACAGTGCCTTCGTTTACGACTCAGGTGCACTTTGTTGGGAACGGTTTGATTGTTCTGATTTGATTCTGAGCGACAACTATCACCAGCAAGGTGTTTTCTACAATGGCGGCTTGTACTTCACGACTCCGGAACCATTTTCAGTGGTTCGCTTTGATTTTGGGAGCGGAAAATGGCAGAGGCCCAACAGTTCACTGCCGAGCCGACTGTCATTTGTTCGAATGGTCAGTGACGGAGAGAAGATGTTATATCTTGTTGGTGGCGTAGGAAGCAATGGAATCTCAAGGAGCATAAAGATATGGGAAATGAGTGAACTGGGGAATTGGGTGGAAATGGAGACGTTGCCGGAGTTGATGTGCAGAAAATTTGTGTCGGTATGTTATCACAATTACGAACACATTTATTGCTTTTGGCATCATGGAATGATCTGCATTTGCTGCTATACATGGCCAGAGATCTTATACTACAAAGTTTCAAGGAGGACTTGGCATTGGCTTCCCAGGTGCCCCTCTTTGCCCGATAAATGGAGCTGTGGTTTTAAGTGGTTCTCTTTCGTTCCCAAGCTATATGCTCTTGTCTGACCCCGTTTCTCTTCATCTTCCCTTGTACATTCTTTCTTTATACTTCGGATGTGTGCGCGCGCGCTTTTCTGAAATCTTCTTGAGTTTTGGATCTAGTTTTGTTTGTGGACCTTGTGTAAAGATTTAAGCGTGATTCACTGTACATTTTCAAGGGATGTGACAACTTTTGTTTTTTTTTTTTCCCAAATATTTTTACATTTTTTAATTTTAAAAATATCTTGATCGTGAAATATCCAAATCAAATGTGTGCTCTTATTACGCATCAACACGCAAGGATCAAAGTTTTTGCCCGTGTAATCTAATTTGCTCCAACGGATCAACAAACTCAACAGAAATATTGACATCTTTTGGCTGCAACGATTTGTGTTGGTAAACATTATGGCTCACGATAGCATTTGGCGTATACTCAAATGAGCAAGTTAGCATTTTGTGACAAAATTGTGCTTCCCAGTTGTTGTTATCGGCGCGTTTGTTTGCCGTCTATTTTTTATCGAGCTTTATTTTTTTTTCCCGTGGAAGAACTGGATTGTCTTTATAGTTATCGACAAACAAAAGACTTTCAGAACGCGTAGCAGCGAATTCCAACCTCTAACGTCATGATCACGAATGACCTCTCAACTTATTGACAGAGTAAAATGAGTATTGTTCTTGTGCAAAAGATTAGAAAAATCCAACTAAAAGAAAACAAAAAAATATATTACCGGCTATTATTTAGTCAAATCTTATCTCTTCTAAAATAGTATTATTTGCTTATCTAGTCTCGCATATATTTAAAAGAATTGAAATTTACCAATGGATTGTGCCCAGGAGACGCCCCATAGCTCCGGCTATCTTTTCTATCACTCTCTCTGAATTACTGGGCCAAAAAATTGATAACTTGTTTAGCATACTATGATTTAGCCTATGAAAAAAGATACTGCCGTTTTATTTATTATTTAGGAGGCAGCACATAAAAGTGCCCACGTAGTTGATAATCCGAAGAGGAAATTTGGAAATTTCAGATAATAATCAGCTGGTCAGCATATTAGTGGTTTCATTTTACCTCGACTGGTTTTAAATCAGTCTATCAGGAACTCATGAGATAAATTCCAAATGTCTCAGACGGGGCATGTATGAGGCGGCATACAAGTATCCCATGTGATTGAAAACATAACGTGAGAATTTGGAAAATTCGGAGTCATAAGTCGATATATAATTGATTACATTTTCTTTTCCAATAGATTTCTAAATTCATCAAGAGAAACTTTTCTAGTCTCAACCTTGAATCAATCAATTGAAAATAATAAGAATCAAGGACATCTGCATTCTACATTTCTTACACTTTCTAATTACCATTTTAATTAATTCGAGAGAGAAGTGAGAATACTGTTGAAGTATTGTACCTATTTATGAATATCTGTAACTGTCTTAAGGCTTGAGAGCCAATGCTAAACCAAACTTGGGACTCCTCTCCAAAGCCTGGGTTTGGAAGGCGCCAGAGATTGTCAAGAATGACTTCGGAATAACCTCATGCTGCAAAAGTGCCGAAAGATTGCCGTGGTTGTTCAGTTTTGCTTTAACAAACGTCTGACCGTTGATTACGTAGGAACATCCGACCGTCAATGTGTTCTCATTTGTAGAAAATCTTCGGCTAATCTCTCCTACAACAGCTCCCCCATTTAAATGATCAAGATGTTGCAAGTACGATGCCCTCAAGGAGTCTCCCTTGTCAGCACTGAAAAAGTGAAGAAACTAAATATGTCTCCAAGGAATTTAGAGAGAGAGGGAGAGCTTAACATTGTGCTGATTCATGCCCCAAAAAGTTTGTGCCGTATATATACTTAAAAATCAATGTAACTCTTGGAACACTTTATGAAAGGCTTCATCTCATTTATTCAATCAAAAAGATGCTTCAATTGTGCTATTTGGACAATCAATCATTAAAATACCTCAAGTACTTACAGGATTACTGATGTGCTGGAATTAGGATTTGTCAAGCTCACTCCCGCATTGTACTTTGAAAACTTTCCTGTAGCAGTCGAGAAGCTCATTTCTGCTCCAAAGGCAATGGTGGGTGTTCCAATAGTTGCAGAAAAATCAATAGGAGGGGACTGGTTTAGACCAACAGCAGTAGTAAAAGCTACGTGATCATGAAGATACTGAACTTCCAACTGCATAAAGGTAAAATTACAATTTAGCAAAGAAATGATGATATATTTCTCAGTCAAACTTCGCATCTCAATAATATAAAAGTACCTTGGTTAAGCTGTAATCAGGTAGTTGGATTGAAGCTATGGTTTTTGTAGACTGTACAATATCTGGTATTGTAACTGTCGTCAAAACCTGTCAAATAAAATAATTTACTACCAAGCAAAGCTCAGAAAATATATTTTAAATTTCAAAATTAATGAAATAGAAGCTAGGAAGATACCTTGGATTCAGTATCAACTTTGACATCAACTGTGCTATTATTGCACCTGAATTTTGCTGTCAGATCGCCAGAAGACAGTCGTCCTTTGTTCACCAAAGTGGAGTTCAAGTCCTGATGTTTGAGAGGTAAACATTACTAATACACATCAGAAATGAAGTATACGGAAAAGGGAAATTGACATACAGAGTTACAAATAGATTCAAAAATTGGTCCCCTGCCTTTTTAAAGAAGACGATTCATCCTCTAACAAGACCACTAGGAGAGGAAAAGCTAGACATTGAATTAAATATAACCAAACTGAGTTCACAAAAAT